CTCTGTCTCGTCCTCAACGTTCTATCCTTCTATCTCACTAACCAAACCATCCACAAAGACAAATATTCCATTCGTGACGTACATGATCCAAACACGATTCCATAACTTCTCTCCAAGCCTTCCACACAAACCCACTAGCTCAAGCCTTCTCTCCACTGAACCTTTTCTAGAAAAAAAATTTTACTTTTCAAATATAACTTTACCTTAATTTCATCTTTAAGTTTTCATATTTCTTCGATCGAGTCTAGAAAACGGGGAACTGCTCTCCAAAACGCTCTGCTCCCCTCAACCTGTTTGATATGAATTATCAAATCAGAGATAGTACAGATCTTACCTCTTTCTTTTTGTCGGAGCTGGATTACCTCAAGGAAACACACCTTATAGAAGGTAAACATTGCCGATGCACCTCTATTCCTAATACATTCCTTGCTACATTCACATACATAGTTATGCTTCCTGCGCGACAAAACCCAAACATTACTGTCTAATTTACTCTCCAAGCCCACCTGCAAAGTATCCAACAATGGAACAAATGATAGAGAATAAAAATGAATATAGTCAGACAACTTCTGCTTTAACTACATTAATAACATATTTCAATTAATTATTATTTTTATGTAAGGTCTTGGTTGAGATGAAAACGTTAGTGTCACGAGCGGGATTGGAACCGTCGACCTTTGACTCAATACGCCGCTGCTCTAACCACCTGAGCTATCGTGACATATCGAAAGAACATACTAATAACATACCTATCCCGCCCGTAGACATATTCAAATATCTAGGCAGGTTTCTAGTTAAAAGACTGACATGTCAGGACTGAAAAACAGGAATTCAACAAACGGTATAAACTTCTTCTAAGTATACAAAACAAACGATCAAAACTTGCACTAATGAACAATGTTAATTTATAGAGATTTTTTGTTTAACAGTTTTGTAAAGCAATTAACATGAATTCCATGATAGTTGGGGTAGTAAATCCGTTTACAGAAGGAAAAATTTATAATCGTATAGCAATGAGAGGTCGAATAAATTGGGAAAATTTTGGTATGCCACGTGGCGACGGATAAACTTACTCTAGGGCACTCTCGACACGACACGCAAGTATGGCACAATTACATAGAAGACAAACACTTTGCGTGAGTAGAAATACTTTGATTGAATATACAAAAAAAATATATTTTGCATTGTATAAATTCACTTTTCCACATCCAAAATGTAATTGTAATATGTAAACAATGTTTGTAAATCCCAGGCCCTGAAGATGATCTCAATAAAGATCGAAACGTTGGCACGATAAAGAAAATGTTTTTCTGAAACCTACATCACACCAGACCGCATCTCACGATTTCTAAATAAATAAATTACTCTAGAGGGTAGTCTCAATAATTACTGGGTTAGGTTATCGTTGCACGTGCCTTCACGCCATTACATTTTTACTTATATATGTGTACTAACCATATATATCTGTATGTTTTTACTGTGTTCTAGATATTTCTATTGTATTTTCAAAGCTGCTGTTTTCATAAATTCTAACTCATCAAGGAAAAAATTATTTATAATGTAATGAGCAACAATGCTCTAACTTGATTATCCATGAACATGTTCTCGGTTTTCACATAAATATATTTGTTGGTTTATTGCTTTTTTCATTGGTTTATGATTTGACCAACCCACCTACAATTACCAGCAGCGCCTACACTGGCATTTGATGAAAAGTTTAAAAATATATGTTTATATTAAAATATATCTACAATTAATCATAATTTAAATGTCTGATAAGAACAGTATTGATATTAATTGCAATGCACTTACTTTATTTCTTTTCAAAATGTTATGTTGTTTCTTTGCCAGTTTTATGTAAATATTTGAATAAGGGATCTAAAATAAATGAACAATAGATCTGTATATGTCACGGTAATATTCATTCTTTGCCAAAATGAATGTTAATAACGTGTTAACAGGAGAGCTCATAGGAGTTTAATTGCAGTGATTATCTTTTCGGTTAGCTTTCGAACTGTCTCATTAAAGCCGTTGTGAGCCGACGGTTTTTGTTTCCGAGCCCATCAATTTTCCATTTGGTAGATTTCGCGTCGGAAAGAGGATGTGTTTCATTCATAGACGGAGATATGCCGAAGACTAAGGAAAGTGAGAGCCTACTAATTGCTCAATCACATCACCGAGTTGACTCTTAATAACTGTGTACAGCCCGTTAGCCGTTTGGGATGTGGATTGTATGCAAATAGCGGGAGGCAGGATGTGGTCGATGTCTTTTTTCAAAGAAGGTCGCTGAAAAATAGGCGTGCCCCGGCGGACGTATGCCACTCGATCGAATTTTTCGCCCAGGTTCCAGATTCTTTACAAATTTTTTTCTATTTTTTCTCGCTTCTTCTGGAGCACGCCTACAGGTAGAAAGGCAGAAAAATTTTTAATCGAAAGAAAATATCATGATAAAAAACCCAAAAATGTTTTTAAAAATCAATTATTAAAATCTTGAGTACTAGCTACTAGTTAACCAAACTCAAATATATACTTATTTTAAAATTCACTTCTTCTTGAATCTGTTATTATTTCTTTTTGCTCATCTATTTTTAATTGATCTCATAGCATTGACTATTTTATAGTATATATTACTAATAAGGTAAAACAGTGAAATTTATCGAGCACTCACGTTCAGCCAAAGAACGTATAACGTTAAGAAATGGATTATCGTAAAAGTTAACCTAAAAATCCGAGAATGTTGAATCAAGGCTCGCTCTCACTCTATATATGTCTATGTACCTACCTATCTGCCTTTCTTTCTATCTATCCAAACAATTCAAAATATCTGTCTATCTCACCCTCTCTCTCTCCCAATGACTCTCTCTCTCTCTCTCTCTCTCTCTCTCTCTCTCTCTCTCTCTCTCTCTCTCTCTCTCTCTCTCTCTCTCTCTTTCTCACACACTCACACAATTTCTCTTGCAGCTTGTGTTTGTTATATAATTGTATTTGTTATCTGTTTTCACTTTCTGTGTACATATCCGTTTACATTTCTTTTCACTTTTTTCTTTCTGCCTTGATCTATGGTCTCATATTTTTGTACTCTCTTTTTGTTCTATCGTTCTTTTCCATTTCTAACTTTTTATCGGTCTTTTTCTCTCTGTTATTTTTATTCAATCTCGTCTTCGCTTGCGTTTACTGCTCAGAAAAGTGTATAACGACTGAAGCTGCCCTATCTATTTCGCAAAATTTCAAGTTAGTTAAGGCGGTCGGCGTGTCGATGAATGATTTTTGTTCGGCTTTAGCTGTTCGCTTCTTGCACAAAATCTGCTTTTTTCAATTCCCGGATCTGTCAGTCTAATACTGGTCATCGGCTAGACAAAAATGTTCAACAAACTTAAATTGATTTATAATAAATTTCAAACGCGACTGCCTAGATACAAAACCGGAACGAGTAGGGGAGACTATTAAAAATCGGTTTAGCTGACCCTCTCAAAGCTGGCCCCCTTATTCTATGTAAAATAGCAAACCAGGTATTACCACCATTGAGAAATACTCTGACACGTATAATAGTGATTGATGATAAATGACATTCCCACATTGCATCCCATTGCGCAGACTTCCCTTGGCGAATTTTTTTTACAACAAATATTTAAACAATATTTGATTCATTATTATACATAATAATGTCAACAATATATAATGATCAGCCAGTTCTGTAGTATAAGTAAGAAAAGAGGTGATATTCTATCATAACCAAAGCTTGATATTAGACCATCCTACGTATAACAATGCAGCTGTTTAATCATTTGAAATAAACGATTCGGAAAAAAAAGTATAATTTCTTAAGAAAATTAAATAATAAAAAATCAAAATGAAGGAAAATAAATGAGAAAATTAAAGTGAGCCAATGTTTCAAATAAAATAAAATAAAAACCATTCACCTGAAAATAATGCCCAGAAACTCACCTTGCTGAAACTTGTCGAATTCACAGAGCCGACGCAACTTCGGGCCCGAATCCGTCGTAGTCTCCGGTGTACAGCTTCGGCTGATTTTCTTGAATATTAATTTCGGGTTGAACCAAACACATTAAATCACTGGCACAGCTTTAAATATTGAAAACGCTGAATTTATTTTATATTTTGGTATAGTAAAGCCTGATAAGCACAGGGGTACATTTCGTCAGTAATTTTAAAAATGCTGACAATAGCTCGAGGTTCATCTTTTAAACATAAAAGAAGGTACTGGAATTTTTCCGTAGGAGTGAAATTTGACCATTCTTCTATTTTCCCATCATAGCTGGGAACGTTAAAGTTTTTTTAATAAATTGGATTTGGACGATGCCAATTAATGTCATGTAGCAACAGGCAAGGAAAACGGTCCGTATAATTGTTGCATTTCTATGAACATATCCTCAACAGCTTTCTGCACTTTATCAACCTCAAGACCGTATGATATATTTGGAAGCTGGAAGAATTAAACTTGATTATATCGTCTTGTATTTTGTTGATATCGGCCTCCAAATAATCAATCTTCTCATCGATCGAAGAAAACCTGGAGACTGTTTCAGCATTTATGTTTTTGAAGCGGTCGTGAGATCGTTGAAGACGCGTAAACAGACTATCACGCTTACATTTTAAATAAGTGAACTTGGCATTCTGTTTTTCCGACAATGAAAACTAGCAGCCTCCCGTATTACCGTATTTTTCTATCGGCATGTTTATAGATGGTAATAACTGTCAAGAAGGTTATAGTAAACAAAGGAAATAATCGAGAGGAAAAAATAAGAATTAATGATTTTACTAAATAGCATGCAAAGTACAGGTTAAAAAGAATCCGGCCGAAGGAGGACCATGTTTAATCGTTTGAAATAAACGATTCGAAAAAAAAGAATAATTCCTTAAGAAAATTAAATAATAAAAAATCAAAATGAACGTAAATAAATGAGAAAATTAAAGTGAGCTAATGTTTCAAATTAAATGAAATAAAACCATTCACCCGAAAATAATGCCCAGAAACTTACCTGCTGAAACTTACCGAATTCACAGCGGCGGCGCAACTTCGGGCCCGAGTCCGTCGTAGTCTCCAGTGTACTGCTTCGGCTAATTTTTTGGGGAATATTAATTTCGGGTTGAAACAAAAAGCATTAAATCACTGGCACAGCTTTAAATATCGAAAACCCTGGAGAGAATTCCATGAGAAGTGAAGTTGGCCCGCGTAAGCGGAGGGGATCCAAGGAAAACAACTACTCGTGGGATTAAGAGTACAATCTATTTACATATGTACAGTTGGTATAAACAGAAGATATGTCAGCAAGTTGTTTTGAATATAATAATAGACTAGGTTAAGTACTCATTCTAAAGGATGGCAGGATGCTTTAAAATTTTTATCATTTTTAAATAACGTCTAGATAAACACAATTACTCAAAAAGTGAATAATTAATTGGAATAACCAGATATCGCACATTCTCCTAGAAAGTATGGTTGTTCCAAACTGACTTAACAGGTTAGATCTATTATGGAATTTTCCATACCATATATACGTATTTTTCCTAATAATGACTTACATAATATTTGACAAGGATCTGAAGAAAAACTAATTTGCAGAAAGTGTTCAGTAGATTTGGCCTAAGCATGAACAGCAGTCTAGGAGTAACAAAAAAGATCGTTGTCCAAATAAAATCAAATATGGCCAAAACTAATCTTTTTCTTGCTTCCGTCTTGATAAGGTGGATCTTCAGTGCTAAATAGAAAGCAAAACATCCATGATTTACCAGGTAAAAAAACAGGTTACATGAAGGCAGTGTGGTGAAAAACATCGCTGTTCTCAGGAATCAGCGACATACCATTAACACATAACTCTTAATAACAGCTAGTTTGCAGTTGCTGCTGCCGTAGTGACTACATGAGAAGCTATATATTTGTGGTAAATCTATCTAGTTCTAAGGTGTCCGTCCAACTGTGGAAATGTTCAAAAGCCTCATTAGGATAACTGCGCACTGAATTGTAAAGTACAATGTTCTTCATTGAGACCTGAATGCCTTATGTATCCGGGGAGATGTAGCAGGTACCAGGAAGCACAAACGAGCATCCCGAAAATGAATCTATCCTCCATGGTATTGCATATCAAACGGCTAAACATGTACACACTGAGCGTTATGCAATTATGATAGCAAGAGCTCACCAAAATGAAACAGTACCGAACAATCACCAAATACTAAAACCTATTTGATTCTATGATGTACAGAGCACTCATTAGGGTGAGTGCGCCATGGCTTGTTAGCACTAAGATCTTCATTGGAACTTCGGAAGGCCTCATGTTTCCACGAAGATCTACCAATCCTCAAGTACCAGGAAGTACAAACGAGCATGCCAAGGATAAAGCTAACCTCAATGGTATTGTAATACCTAATAAACATCAGCGAAACATGACATGATACTGAGCTTCATATAATTTTAATAGGAAAGTACAGCAAGATAAAACAGCATCTGAACCGAATACTAAAATCTATCTGGTTCTATGAAGTACAAAAACCCCTATTAGGGTGAATGAATGAGACAGACAGTGGAAGAGAGATGTCACCAGTAGGTGAATTATATTTCATGATTTCTTCTTGTAATTTATGACAATACCAATCAAGTCCTCGTTGCTTAGCTGAAGGTTAGTTAGGGTCATCTACTGACTGGCTGTAGGCCTTTCACATCACCCTGCAGTGTGGAAGATACTGCTTTCTTAAAAATTATTTTCTAATTAGCAATAAATAATAAATTACAGTTTTTATACTATCTAATGGTGATTGTAATGGGGTTGGAATCAGGTGTCTCATTACATTCTCAACCCTGACGACTTTTCCAAAATGGCCAACCCGACGACCCATTTGTCTGAGGAATATGTTAAATGCTTGTCAGTAAGAAACACGGATTTCTTGGGCCACTAAGAAATCTAGAATCAGGAATGATATTGCACGAAACGAACGATCTGTTAGAATAACCAGAAACCAAGGCACTATGAGTCGTTTACAAATGACCAGTGATTCGACGAACAGTGAGTGGAATGTAACGGGAACAATTAGGCATATTTAATAGGTAAATTTATCATTAATTTTGAATTATGACTTTATTAAGTACTCATTGTCTACGTGAAGGTTATGTCGTATAACCGACTGCTGGGAGTGCAGATCTTCAGGGAGGGAAAAGGTCATCTTCTTTGTAATTCTTTTCCGCCTATTAAATAAGAAAATGTTAAGTATCAATTATCGTTTGGACAGACCTAGCGATTGGGGTTTGGAGTAAGGGGATCGGGTTAGATTGTCATCCCGGACGAATTTCCCAAATGGCCAGCTATTCAAGTGCAATTTGGATCGATGACCCAAGAAGGGACCAGCTGATTTAGACAGGACGCGTTTATTTGTTTTAAGATCCCTTCTCTCGACGCTACCGGACTTCCTGTGCCCCAAAAAGCAATTACCAATTTGCAAAGGCCTAATACGGACCGGGGAGAAGCCAGGCCAAGACAACGCTTAGCGATTGTTTAGTCTGGAGGCTGCGTGGGCTCTTCGCTTCTTCCCTTTTCATCATCGGCCGCGGGTCATATGGCAAAAGCAGACGTCCTCCGGGCTTTTTGGAATACACCAATTGAGGACTAATCTTTTGAAATAGAATAGAAGGACATTAGACTTCAGCTAATGCAACAAAAGAAAAAACAATTCACATAATTAGATAATAATGACTACCTGGGTAACGTATTATTCTCATGATTTTGGGCACTGTTTGTATTTTATTATAATTTTTTGAACAAATATATTTCTAAAATATGAAACTGTTTACAATTTTTTTTTCAATTTACTTTAACATTTATACTCTTGATGAGTACTCAAAACAGATTGAATTGTTTTTCCGAAACTGGATTATGGAATAATGGTACAAACCCTTATAATTATGACCATACCGTGGAAAGTGCATTTTCCCACTGAACTAAGCACTTCTTTCGGTGGTTCTTTGGGTTTTTCTCTAGTGTTAAAAAGGCTATCTGCCGATGTACCTCGTGACAGAATGAGCAAATTTCTGTCCTGATTTGTCCATCTTTTTTGGGTAGTTAAGAGGATAGTGCCCTTTACGTAGAGCTATAATTTTCCTCAAATATTGCCTGCTGAGAGAGATTTCCTTTGCCTTTCTTTTAAAAAGATTTTGTAATTAAGTCTCTTAGCTTGTCTCATTCGTTGTACAGTGCTTGAGTTTTTCCATCTCAAGTTATATTGCATCTCCTTTGACCCATTTAGGTGTGCCTAGCTGTAGGGTTTTTGGAGATGAGTGGGTTGCCCCTTTTTTGGCTAACTATTCAACCTGTTCGTTTCTTTCTACACCTTCATGTCCCGGAATCCATCTCTAGGTAACTTCTATGTTCTAGTAGAGCCATTAGGCAAATTAGACATTCTCAGACAGTTTGGAGGTAAAACGTACGGATTTAATATCATTATAGCTTCCTGGCAGTGGGTAAATTCGTCATCTACCTACCTACCGTATATACCTTTCATATTCTTCTTTTAGCAATTGCTATGCTATGCTCAGAATTAAATTGCATGAAACTCAGCTCGGAAGATAGTTGGACTGGTTCAAGAGGTTTTTCTAAGGTGTAATTTGACTCTTCTTCTCTTGCACCTACTACCTGTTCCATCAGTGATCCATCAGAGTATCGTATTCTCCTTCCTGAACCTTGCGCTTGCCATTTCCCCTAGGGTAAAGATCCCTTCTATCTTCGCCCACTCGGAAGGGAATGTCAAAATTCTTTCTCTCATTTTGTCAAGTAATGATGACCGTAATAGTCATGCCCCTTGTTTTAATTATCGAATTTTGTGGCTTCTGCTTAGATCTGGTTTTGCTTCCTCTCAGGAGTCTGTTGACACTATACAAGCCACGTTTTGTACATGGATGTGTAAGGGTGGGAGATCGAGTACGGTTCCCATCGTCCTTTTGTTTCTATGTATTGTCCCTGTTATGTTAAAACAAGCTAGTTTTTGTTTAATTTTGTTTTGTGTCTACTTATGCAGTGTTTTCGGCCATACTAGAGGTCCATATGTGATAAGAATGTCTGACGTTGTGTATATAACCAAATTGCTAACCTGGGGTTTATGCTCAGATTTAACACCATAATTTCTAGCTAATGCTTAGTAGTGCCGTGGGCTTATGTAGCTTGTTGCCTATATGACTTCTACACTCGATCCTTCGGTCAAGAGTATCTATATGCTGAGTTTCTTTGGAGAAAATTAACGCTTCACCTTGTAGAAAGTTAAGGCTTCATCTTTTATGGTGTGAGTTGATGTTGATCATGAGGTGAGTAATACATTCTTCGGCTGATCGTTTTTGTTTACGTTGTTAGGCTATTACATTCTACTTTTTTCAATTTCGCTGTTCAATATTTAAACTTATTAAAAGAGCTGGTTAAAAGAGAATCGCTTAGTGAATTTATTCACCCCCAAAGTTGGGAGCCCTGACAATAATTAATAATCTGTATTATATATCAAGTAATTATTTTATTACAATGTGACCTTTTTATCACTACTGAGAACGTATAGATTTTGTAAAAAGAAAAAGGTCCAAAGTACCAAAGGTCAAGGAATTTTATTCTTGGCGATGTGCAGGTTAGTTAGATTATACTCATTCCATCTGATTAATCCAATAAAATTGACCCTAATTCTCGAACATGTCAACAACCAAATTGAAGAAACGTTTTTTAATTTTGTTTTATTATCTTTTCCTAATTATCTTGCTGCTTTCACTTACAGGATGCACTGCATATCTTGGGCTCTGTTATCTGTGAATCCTTCACTCGAAAATTACCATTCTAAAATAATTTGGAAAATGGAAGGGAAAGATTATTCCCGGTCATGAATGGCCAATGATAATGACCTAAATCTACTTGCCTTTAATTAGTTTTTAATTCTGCCCATGGGTTCAAAGCACTAGGCATTTTCATTTCAGTACAATTCCACAAGGTATGCAAGAACAAAAGGCAGGCTTACAAAAAAATCCCAAAAATACCTTAGAATTCACTTTCCATAACAGGGTTGGTCGGTTTTGTAAAAAGATAATCTACGTATGTATCAACGACATATAATGGTTTTCATAAAACGCGTACTTTTACCAGATGTCCAACAAATCACCAAACACTCGAAAAGTGACTTGTTTCTTTAATAAACGTGTACTTTTTATTGTAAATTTCCTT